TGAATATTAACCAGCAGCTACTTTGATGTTTAAGTAAAAGTTAGGAGACTGGTTGGTTAAAAAAATTAGAGATGCCACCGAAAAATCTATTTGTTAGACATACAGAGATTTTTCAGCTAAAAATGGCAACAGATTGTAAGTTAGTATTACTATAATATAAGAAGCTTGAGAAAACATAGTTTAAACGTTGTTTAAACGTTTTTACTAGTTAAAAAAGCTGGGCTTCTCAGAGGACCGTGATGACTGACAGTTACAGGTTAAAATTAACATGTTTTCTTATTGTACAGACAGAATCGGACGGCACACTGTAAAAACGATCTAGAAATAAGTGAAAATGTCTTAAATTAAGTGTATTTACCTTTGATTTGAGCAGGTAAATCTGTTGTTTTGCCAATGGAATGAGTATTTTTACTCCTAAAATAAGATATTTAGATAAAGTGCACTTGAAATTAGACAATACAATTGTTTTTTCTTATATTAAGTGTAAATTGTCTTGTTCTATTGGCAAAGTGTCTCACTTACCTCCTAAATAAAAAAAAAAAAAATGCACATATTTTAAGAAAAAAATGACTTGTTGAGATTTCATTTTTTTGCAGTGCAGAGCCTCTACATATCTTGAAATATTGCTTCTGGCATCATTATATTAGTAAAGAGGTTCATACATCTTTTTAAACAGAGCCTGGAGAAAAGCGGGGAGAGCTGCAGAATTAAGGTGAAACAGATTTACTGGAATATCCAACATGCTATAAAATATATTTCCAAGTTTACCAGAAACTTTACAAGAAAAAAATATGCTATTTAAAATGAAGCATATCCATATTTTTCTGGATGGATGGAATTGAAATTCTATATATAATGGATGCATGATATATATCGATTTTTGTTATGCGTTATTTTATTTTTTTTATAAATTAATGCTTTTGGGCCCTATAAAGAAATGCACTAAAAGGCATCTCTCTCACTATCTATAAATATAAATATCAGTGTACTGTTGTTCTCTTGTGTTCTGAACAATATAATAAGCATTCAATATGTTTGAGCTCATTTTTGGAAAATATAAAAAACTTAATGAAA